TTTTTTACTTCGTTGAATTAATTATTAAATGATATATATATATATGCTTACCCAACATCTAATACGGAAATTCCATCCCTTAATTTGTCATAGAGAAATTACCACCATATGCACTTTTAACAAAAGATGAGATGTTTCCAATCTATTAATTTCTATTTCATCATTAGGGTATGTATATTTTGAAGAGACATTATGAAAGCGTCTATTATTGATGAATCTAAATTTATCAGGATATCTTCAAAACCTTGATCTTGGAACCCAATGGATTGCAATAAAGGATCGTGATGTTTTGCGAGATTCTTCCCTATTATTAATGTACCGACGTTCATTAGTTAAAGATTAACAAAAAAGAATTGGTTAAAGGTAAACCTTTTTTTTTTTTTGAAAGTAGTTAGAATGGTTAGAACCCATTTTTATTTTAAAATTTGTTGCATGTTTCCGAATGCTCAACAAATAAAAAAGCTATTATAATATTTTTTTGTCTTACCGAGAAAATGATTAAACATTAAAAACATGCAGGGGGAAATTCACAAACTGTAGTATTTTTTTCGGTGGTTATAAATTTGGAAAGTTTTCTGCTACTTGCGATTTCGCGATAACTGAGAAATGAGCTATTCGGGATTTAACTATATAATATACAATTTTATTGGGACTGACTGAAAACAAGAATCCAAGTTTTAATTAATAACTTTTTTTAGTTGAAATGATGCGCAGATTATAAATAAGTTTATATTATTCCGTAATGGTTTTCAAAGGAACAGATGTTTCGCGCCCTTTATGTCATACGGAAAATCGTATCACTTTTCAGTAAGACCTTTTTTTGGTTTTTTTTAAAAAAAAAAAAAAAAAAAAAATTCATGTAATAAATATATCTATCACCTTTTGATGATGAACGCCATTTATTTAAATAAATACAATTAGCTGCTCGTGTCAGCCTAGCTTCTCTTCGTATATATCTCTCAAAGGAAATATAAATATCTTGAGCTCCGCAAGCATAAAATTTTTTACCATCTCTTCTTTTTTTTTTTTGCAGTTACATGAATTTAATCGGGTTATCAGAATTCAAACTTGTAAACGAGCAGGAAAAAAAGAAAATAATCTAAACCGTAATAATAATATTTGTTTTTTTTTTTTTTTTGACAGTTTTTTTTAAAATATCCCACTCCAAATAATTTTCATCATCGTAATGATTCACCAAATTTACGAAAGATGTTACTAAATAATCGTGATTATTCTACAAAAATTTAAATTTAAGGTTTCTTACATATCATCAAAAATAAAATTTAATGAAAGGATTAATAATAAAGGTTTCACAGCACTCTTTGGCCCTAATATAGAAACCGAAGATGTCAAAGCAAATACATTCGGTAACTAAAAAAACTAGATCAATTAAGGGCGGATGTTTGGTATACTAAAAAATATATATACAGTATTTCTATTTATAAATTTAGTTGCAGTCGACTCTGGATATAACGAACCTGCCGTTCCAGAAGATTTGGTTCGGTATAAAGTGAATTCGCTATATGATGAGGTTTTATACCGAACTGTTCGGTATATAAAATTGACCAATAAAAATACAGACTCGTGGTCACATCGTAACAATAAAATTTATCAATTTATTATATTAAACAGTGTGTTATATAAAGAGATTATCGCGTTGGACCTTTGCAATAGAAAAAGGGGAAAAAGACTGGAAAAAATAAAACATTTTGACCTAGTTTTTATTAAGTATTCTGGGAACTTAGAATTTTTTTCAGGCCCCTTATTCGTCACTAATTAATTTCTTAATGCCCTAATTCCGGCCAAAACAACTCCGCTTTAGACGGGCTCCAAATAAATGTAAAATCGATTCTATAAAAAAGTAAACGTTATTAAT